TTTCCAGTTCATATTAAATGACGTCGGTAATCATTTGACATAATGTGTTTATTGAAATGAAATTCAAATGTAAATGTGTAACGTTTCAAATTCAATCAAAACAATTTGTGCTACTTCTATTTTAACCAATCCAATCAAGATGGTGCACTATTAAATGTCAATTAACAAATTATTACAGACAACAAACTGTTTTTTCATGAACATATGAGCAGATGTTTTGACCTACAAGTTAACCAATCGTTGGTTATAAATTATCGGTAATCACATCCATGATAAGCTTCATCAATAGGGGTCAGTAATTTCAAACAACTGTGGATAAATTTCAGCTCATATTCTCAACAACCAGAAAAATATTGAATAAAGATGGTCTCATCTACATCTATGATTGGTTAACAATTAACATACGATTTTACCACGTATATTCATCTTAATGGTCAGTTTGAATCATCGAATCAGTAGTAAACAACCTGAAACTTCAAAATTCTATATAAACCTGACACGTTCTATTCAAATATGACTTACTACCTTGAACAAAATGATGAGGTGAGTGTTGACAAAACATACGAACTCAATTTGAAAATCGATACAATGAGATTATGTTGTTTACTTCATTTGAACCATTTTAGATACAACGTGTTATCTTCTCAATTGATGTCATTTATTCTAATTATCATCTCGCTTACCGAGTCCTACAAATGTCAGGATCATTGTAAACAACTTGAATGGAAGACCAATGAAAAAATGATTTTTGAAAATAGTTCATATCACTATGTAAGTAATCAGTTCGATCGTTATACACATACTCAGTCTCAACATTATAGGTATTTGCAGCGCATCAGTTTTAATCAAACTCAGCCAGCTGTGAATACAAATTCAAAGAAATTCACTGAAGCTTTGGTGAGTTGAATACATTTTTTGATGAAAGTACTTGTCCCTATGTTCACGTCTTTTTAGGATGTTGAACCGAAACTGTCCTTGAAATATTACGATATTAAGGTCACAAGTTTATATATTTTCGCTTCTGGTAAGTCAGTAATTTTCTTTGACCTCAAATTATAACTTGATTTTCTTGATAAAATTTCAGTCCATGAATCCAAGTTGATTCCATTTCTTTATTGACTTAGTTCTATTCTCCTTGAGACATGCAAAAATTCTTCAGATATCCTTTCTTGTTCAAATTATGTCGATAATGTGACGCTTTATAGAAATTCAGATGCAGTTCATGCAATTCATTTAAGTCTTTAGTTTATTTCATTCAATGTAAAATGATCAATCATGTTTCATGTTTTCAATAATTAAATACAGGTGGAATACGTATAAGCGGAGGACACCACCTCGGATTTATTAAAGCTTTTCATGCAAACACTATTGTTCATCAATTTGAGATTTTGAATGAGGGTGAGTTCTTGTAAGATTCAGTTATAATTTGTTTTGTTACTTATTCCCACACTTCATTTTGCATACACCATTCTCTATTTTACTTGAGTATTACACAAGAGCTCATCAACACACAATGATTGTTTTGTTTGTTTGGTTGTCGTACCAGAACATGTGTGTTTCACAACACCTTTTGATTACTATTATGTAAAAATATGAAACAAAACAGAGATTCATCACAAAATACAAACACATTGGAGTAGTCGAAATGAAAAAAACCAAGTGATGTTATTGTACGAGTGCTAATTACAAACTCTACAGTATATCAAGACTACAAAATAGCAGATATCGGCATCGACACGATACGTCTTTGTAGACTAAATTAATCGGAATTATCACATGTGCAAGAGAGACGTCATTTTGAATTATTGAAATCTATGAACTATCAAGTCATATTTCATGTCTTCCATACTTTTCTGGCATTTACTGTTTGATTTTGCATTTGCTGTTTGTTTACCATCAAGTTTTGGACTCGATCTTTACAATCACATTCGTAATATTGTAGTGAACAAGAACACGGGTGGGGACAAACTAATGTATTTAGCACCACAATTACAGTCTATCTCAACAGAATCTGAATACCATATAGTCAATCGTTAATTTGCAAAATATTCATGCATCAAACCAAACTGGACTGTTTCTGTTGCAAACACCAATCCATTGTCTCCCATTCCATTGTTCTTTCATTTTCTTACAAATTCCACTGTGTTCTCGCTCAACATTTCTTGATCTTTGCCGTCTTTTGCTGCCAGACATTACGTTACTTTAACGCACGTTATATACTACTTATATCAATATAAGTAGTTCACACCACACTATTACCAAATTTCAATACAGGCAATGAAAGATTAATAATATTCTGGTTAACTCAAACTAGAACACCAAGGTTGAAAAAATCCGTTTTTGGTCCGTTATCAGAATTGATTAATAACCGACATCTCAGAAAATGTTATTATATGGGTATTGTCAGTTAGATATTAATAGTCTGTACCACAGTCTAAATCTCCTAGAACAGATGCTACAGAAGAAAAATATTCTTCTTAGTTGGATGGATTGAGACATTTATCATACGGATGTAGTTGATAATGTTTCTTGAACTTTCCACATGAGAGGTACTTGAGTATTTGACTAAATCGGTTCAATTATTCTCATAATGAAGATCATAACTTGCATGCAAATGTAGTTCGTGTTAAAACTTTCATTTATTGAAAGTGATAGATATTCATTATGCAGATATTTAAACATCCATTTTTATTTTCATTATTTCAGAGAAATTATTTGCTGTCAGATGGTTCATTAATAAAGAAGTTAATGGTAAACGTAAGTCAACACATGTGGAATCTAAACACTTACATCTTCATTCCATATGATTATTCACAGTTTGTCAGATTCGATTTATCTCAGAAACTGAAAATGTAGGAATTTGTCACTTTTCAGAGAAATCAGAGTAGAATTATTTGTGAAATCCACAGATCGCTTGATGACGTCAAATGTAATTTGACGAATAATTAATGTGATCTGGAAATGACTAAAGTTGATGAGTCAAATACAGATCACAATGGTGGATAAATGAGGTCACAATCTTATTTCACTTGTGTAAAAACGAATTCAGAGATTCTTTGACGTTTACAGGCTTGAATTGAATTTGATGAACAGATTCAGTTTCAAAATAAATACATTGTGTTGTATGCTGGTCACAAAGTCAGTTCTCTACACAATATATTCATCTACCCATCCATTAATCTCATCGTCACTCCTAAATATTATCCACCCAAATATTTAAAAATTATCCGTATTGCCATCTATCTAAGGCTATTTGTTTCTCATTTACAACAAATAAACACTATGGTCGTATTCAGTTGATCGATTGAAATATCACGTAACCACGAAACCAATTAAATCCCTAAGTCCAATGTTTATGCAAATACTGCAAATATTATGTCATGTGTACTCAGTCTGGATTGTTTCAGGAGTCATTCAAGAATGTATATCGCATAAATTTAAGTACTTTATTGACCATCCAATTTTAATATAATAATTACCGATTTATTGTTTCCGTAATAATGCAATTGTAATACAGCTTTAGGCATTTGATATTCGTTTAGTAGGATGCATGCTTCTTTCATTCTCATGACGTGCACTTGGAATTATTTAACATGAAGTCAACTGAAGAAAATATTTGACATAAGACAGTAACTATTTGCTGAAACATGGTCAATTTATGCGCTGATATATTCAATGTTACATCTACCGATAAATTGGTCACTGTTTTCGCAAAAGTTCTAAATATCGATGGTTTTCTAATTGTAGAGTTTACAGCCGAGATAATCTGCCTAATACATCCGAATGGGAGGATAGTTTTCTATTATGATGAAGTAAGTTGCACAATTGAATGCAAAAGTAGTTTTGTTTCGAGTACTTCAGATTACTCAACTATTTCATGCTTATGAATACTGTCAAATATATAACTAGTTACATTGAACACGAAAGGAATATATCCACATTCTGTAATGTGCAAACAGAATATTTGACACTATTATTCAACCATTGATGGCACATGTTATTCAAGCACTTGTTAAAAACAGTGAATAATCAGAAGTGAAGCACTTCATTTTCATCTAGGAGGTTGTGCGTTCAGAGATCTTGACTCGAACTATCAACATTTTCTTTCAGGTTTCAACGGAAATTAAAGAAATTGAATGGAAACCGATAATCGGATGTGGAGGAAGTAAGAAACATATCCACGAATGCTATTAGCACATTGATGTCAGGTTACTCGTACTATCCGTCATCTCTTTGTGTTATATTAATTTCTGTTTTTACACTGGTTATCAGAACGTCGATACAGAACATTCCTTTATTCTATCACAGTGATCTAATTTAGTGTTCTTACAGTTTACGTTAAAGATTTGATTTGCTTGTAAAATCAACTGATATAAATGTCATTAAAGTGTTGTGGATAATTGTGCAAAATAAAATTGATATGCGTCTTGTAAAAGCACTATTCAAATGTTGTTGAATTGTGAACATTCAACGTTAGATCGATGTAAGAAAATTGCAGTGTCACACTAATCGTGACTGTCAGTGAAAGTGTTTGCTATTTGCGACTATCATACTTGATGGTGCCACAGAAATGGTTCAAAGTGAGAGAGTTATGGTGTCGTTTCAGCTTTCTGTGATAAATTTCACCGACAATAGATTACACTGTCCACATATGCTTATACTCACTTAACCAAATATCTTGAGTAAAACAACTAAGGTGTATGAATGTATTTACCCTCAGAGTGCGGATAGTTATTTTGATACGGCTCAATCTTATGGTTACCGATTGACGCATTCGGATGGAGACATATGAATGACGAGATTAAAGAAATGATAATTACACTCATTTATTCTTTAACTTACAGTACACAAATCACAGATTTAGTCCTCAGTCTTCACTCAAAAAGAAGGTGTGCTTTGTATGAAACAGAATTAAACGAATGGTACTGGTTGGACATTGAATAATATTGATGCACTTTAATAAGTTTTGGGCATGCTAGATAATCACAGAATTATTTTAAATGAGGCATTTACCAGTTCATTGTTTAGACAACGACTTAAATGATGCAAATAACCTGTTATATTTTCTTGTTCAATATATCACACATGATAAAATAGAACCCCATATAATTACTCCTGAAACATGGATCAAAAGTGGCACGTTGGTGGAATATGAATTCATCGGAGGTATGTTAAAACTTATTTAATCAGCAATAATTATCTTCACTCTTGAAAACATCATTTCTATTTCAACAAATTGAACATTCCATGTATAATTTTATTCAACTACTAAATGATATCGAGCTATCTATCCTAAATGACATTTCATATATCATTAGGAACTACACATCGACTCATTCGGTGAATAATGAAACGGATTCAAAATTCAATTTGAACCAATACTGAAGTCTCCACTTTGATCAAAAAGCGACTTGACAACAAAGCAACAAAACGATATATGAGATGATATTAGTTTTGAATAAGATTAAGTGTCCGTGAGTTGACTGCGCGTAGACGAAAAAATGTCCATATTTTCTAGTGGTACATGTGAAATGAAATCTTGCTGAGGCATTGAATTTGCTAAAACACTTCACGTAAATGCGAATACTTTGGAAACGATTGCCATACATATACGATTAATTGAAGGTATGGATAATACACTTCTCCAAATTACAATTTATCATAGCCAGTTTGAGAATTATTTCCATATTATAAAAATGTGTACCATCTCATAAATATGTACATTGACTAACTATAAACAGATTTTAGATCTCCATGTTTTGTGTCTTCTGAAATAATATTTTTAGTAGTGAGAGAATCATTCCATGATAGAATAATCAGATTGCCGTCAATATTCTTCGAATAAGATACTCCATTTATCATCAATGAATCTTTACTGATCCAACTAGTTTCATAGATTAACTGATAGCACAAAGAACAGAGTGCAGCTTGATGTCATCCATCACAGTAGGTCGACTGAAATCTCTCCAAGAAAATCATCATTGATCATTATAAAAACAATGTCAGACTTCGTTTGTCGTTTGACTGGATTAACATAATTAAAACTCGATATTTAGTCTGAAAAGAACTGAGTTTCTTGAACTAAGTGCATTCATAAAACTGATATCATCTAAAGACACTTTACAAAAATGAAAAAATTCAATGCAATGTGATTTGCTGAGCCCACTGACAGTATCGTTTGTTCATATCTGAATATAAACAGTTATTGAAATCCATCGTTCATACTTGACATTCGACATAGTTTCATTCAATTCAAACATGATGTCGCACTGAATATTGCATTATGCATCGTGGTGACAATTTTCCAGTGAGTGAAATTGTCACTTCACGCCGAAATCACCATTATATCATTGGGTTATTGTTACATGTTTTGTTATTCACTTACCTTTTGTTTGGTTACTTGAAATTAAATCATCTCATTCTTTTCACAGACTACTGTCCAAAACACACTTCACCTAAAGAATGCGAACGCGCAACAAAATCGGATATAATTTGTTTTTGGTGTGAAAATGCGGACATATGCATTGATAGTACTGACCAGAATGCTCATAACATGAAAGTTAATAAGTGCCTTGTTAAGGTTAGTACTTCTTATTCTTCACAGGTCGTTTCCAATATTAGAAAATTACACATTTCGCGTACATCCATTCACCCTAAGGAATATTTTTTTCTTTACGAATAAAAAATAATTAGTATACGACCCTCAATGGCTAAATTAAAGTTTTGCATACATTGACGTCAACTAATCTGATATGAGTGCCATGTTTTCTTTCTATGGAATGAGTAAACCATGGATCAAAGTGTCCATTGTCAATAATACTCGAAAAAGTAATGATATTTCAGCTGATTGTTAGTGCGGTTATATTAGAAACCGCATATCTATGTGGATTGTTGCAAAATACCGATGAAACCAGTTGGATTGAAGAAGTGTAACCTGTTGGAAATGGTGTGTCATATATTGATAATGAGTGGAAGTAGACTCCATTGTTGATGTTCAGAACAAGGATTTCCGACTCTCTGCTGATTAATATGTAACCTGGATACATAACTTTAATTTCAAAAATCAATTTTAAGTTTATTGGTTTTTATTCGGATTGTGATTAGATGCGACATTCAGAACACAAATTTCATCATACAATTGAGTCGTCTATTAGTTTCAGAATGGTGTGTACTCAGTATACAGACTGTGAAATCGGTAGTGGATGTTCTAAATGATTGTACAAATGCAAATTGCGTTACTATTTGTTGAACATTGTTCTATTATCAGTGCTGACAAATGTGCATGATGATTACTGAATTAATTGACATTTGGTAATCAATGCTTTTGTTTTATTTATTAAGCTTAAACCAGAAGTGAACGAGTTGAGTACACAAACACCCACCAAACACATTGAAACAACATCAAGCGCTCGTGAAGAAACTGACCAACCCTCGGTAAATATTTGATATTTAGTAATAAATGCTTATATTTTGTTCTTCTTCAGAACATGACTACCGAAATAAACAAAGAGAATCTACAGAAGAAATCATCATGGTACTTGTATATTGTGATTCCTTTGATCATCATTTTCTTTGTTGTATGTGTTGGTTTTATAATTTGGAAATGGCTACAGAAAAGAACCAGAAGTTAAGAATGATTCTCATAAATCTCTTATTACTTTGTTTTATTATTTCAAATTGTTTTCATTGAGTGCTTCTTTAGAACACTTTCCATATCATTATTCATTTCAATAGTTTGGACAATTTCTTTATGGAATTATGTACATTCTTATGATTGTATACGTAATAACTTATGTAATCTTGTTGACAAAATATAGAAACTGGATTTTTACTATTTGCGTTATTGACTTCATTGAATAGAACCTGTGTAGCATTAAACAAATTTCGAAAAGAAATAGCTCTGTAAGCTTTCGACATTGGATGCTGACCATATTAGCTTTGATAGACTCAACTAGGTGAAGGCTATCGCTCATGTATCCGCATCAAATCACGAGTGATAACGGTGTGCTCAACAACCCGTGCAATCACTAGCCAGCTTAGATCTGACAATCTTCGAGATGTTGATAGCCTATCAAACATATCTTAGAAATTCCTCGCTTCTGACTTTTGATTTCACTTGGTGGGTACGATTCATAATAGAAAGTGTTATTGATTAAAGCGTTGTCAAACTCCAACTACTTGTGGCATCTTATCATTATTAAACTTTTATCATTTTTGACAACGATCGCCACTGTTTATGATCTGTTGAAACACACCTACTTAATACTAGGTTAAGGTTGATCTCCAGTCAGATGTTAGGAAGGATTGAAGAGCATTGTCACTGAAATTTCAGGTGTTGCTGTCTGTCAGGATGATTTTTGTTCTTGTGGTTAGCAATAAATTTCGTTTGATCAGAGACTTACTTCTGTCCTCCGTCATCTGCTTGAGATAAGATATGCCGATCGTCTGAGTTGATGTTCATTTTGTGTATTTGGTTTCGAAGATTTTGTTGACCGTTGTGATTTCAAACTTGATATAATGAGACTACCTAAACTTGTAGGTGAACAGACGCCGTAAACTCCTACACACTCTATAACAGACGATCTTCAGTGCTGTTCCCTCTTTGTTTTCCACTTGTCATGTCATGTCAGTTTTATTTCGAATTTTATTATTCAATTCCGTCGGAGAGATGCGGAACATGATTCTTCCTTTGTACATTCACTAAAAATTCTCTAAAGTGATGTTCTACTTTAAATTTACTCAACTACCGTACACTTCGTACTTATTACCTTGACCAATGTTGTGATTTCAAGACAACAATCAATACTTTAGATGTATACCAATGCGTATGAAAATATGTTGAAACTCCAATCTGAAACATGGATCGCCGGATGTTTCCCAGGCGCCACTGATTGTCCATCAGTTATTATTATGAAATTTTGGCATAAATAATCATGCCGTTATTCCATTTTTTATATATATTTGCTATTAATAATCTCCATACAGGATCGCGAAAGTACTTATCAGTGTTTTTCACGTTTTGCTAGTCAGTGTTTCAAATTCCATTATTTGTGATCATAACACGCAAACCCTCATGGTGAATTCATACAAAATCACAGAGAACTGAATGTTACCATCAGATAAGTAGCAGATATCTTTGTGTACGAAATGATGCACAGTTCTTGCCAATCGTCGATTTTCTCTAAACACCAAACACCCTTCAACTACTGTTAATTTTCAGTGTAGATTTTTCTTATTTTTATGTAATCAACTATCAAAACTATAATGAAATCATTTTTGCTTTTAAAATAAGTATTGAATATCAATGAAAAGCATCAACTAAATTGTTCATGAGAACGAAGCGTAACTCTGTTCATGAAAATTTAATTTAGATGCATAAACATTTTTATGGTTTATGAGGATCCTTCACTTTGAGTAAAAGAAGTTGAATTCGGATGAGTCAAATGTACGCCGCAAATAGTTTTTTTTTTAAGTCAGTGTCAACATTGTTACCATGTTTTCATTAGATGAATAGTTGCTTCACTTATATTAAACTTAACTTATCTTATTGTCAGGAGGTATTCGGTTCATTTCAATGTCTTAGCGTTATAACAATTGGCTACACGAGATTGTCTCAGTCTTGTAGACGATTATTGGAGTTCTAATGCATGTTCTATCTTAGTTTTGAAATAACAAAATGATTCAATTTTGACTACAGTAATTCATTTCATTCCTGTTGGCGTAATGTCACTGACATTTACAGACTGACGATTAATAAAACTTAACAGTAACAAATCGGTTTGTCAGAACTACTGAGATATAATAAATAAATACACGCACAAAGGAGATCAAAACATCGGTCAATTCACCTATTTGTTGGGCCGTCTATATCTGCAGACACTAGATGACTTGTCGAAAATACACCTTCAGATTCAAATGCATGAAGCTCATTTGACAGTCGCAATACATGTTTGCCATAACCCTGATGTGAGCAGATGAGATGCATAGACCCGGTTAATCACAAGAATTCAATCTATTCCATGGTTGAACCTACAACAATTTATAAGTAATCTGCATATTATTAAAACACTTCTCCTCACCTAATCAGTTATAAAGAACAACGACTCTCAGGTTATACAACATTTACAGCTGAATTACAACGAGCGAATATGTATCGCAGCTGCGCGTCAAGTCAATATGAATGTTATAGTCCCTCATGTTTGAGCTTTTCGATTTAGGCAAATTCATGGTTCTTCTACCGCTATTCCCCGTTTACACTGAAGTTTGAAACGATCTCTTATATAATCCAAACTATTCGCTAGTCGCATTTAAATTACATAACATCCACATAAGTTAATAGCTAGTTACTTCGTTTTCAAACTCATTACGTACCAATGTAGATTCACTTGTAAACTGAATTTCGGCACAAATAATCATGGTCTAATTACACAATACACTTTCTGTAATATTTGCCAACCGACTATGCCCTTCTTTAGTTCCAAACTCCAAATATAATATTCAGGCGTATTATCTATGACAAAGAAGATAAAACTGGAGGTTAATGTCTGATATACGTTCACGATTAATTCACAGATAGTAGTGTGAAATGGTGTTCTTAGAAGCCCAACTCAATACGTCTAATAATAAACTATCATTTTAAACGATTTTTCACCCAATGGCTGCACATAAGTTGTCAAAGACACTTTTGCTACTGTGAGTTAACTCATTGTTTATGGATTAGAACACGCTTCTCTTGATTTCAATGTGTGGGTCGTCATGTGATGTTTAAATTAATCTGGTGCACAATAAAATACTTATGAGGGTCGACCATCTGATGATGAATTTTTAACAAAACTGGAAACGCACCGCTAGTCATACCAAGTTCACACTCTTAAAAAGAAATAATGGAATATTCGATCTAGCCTCCTGTAGAGTTATCATTTCACACAACTGATTTTAAAGTAACAGCCATAGAAAGGATATTGGGTCTAATCTTATAAAAGTTTCTCATAGCGTAAATTCATATTACAAGAATCGCAAAGATACAGACCTGATAAGACACTCAGATTGCAACACTGACTTTTAGGGCAATAGTCTCGTGATTGCTGATGGCATATTTTACCGAATCACTTGTTTGTATACTGGAAATCATTCACTCACCTGGAGTGAATTATTTAAGACAGTTAAATATCATAATTACTAATGACACCTACATAAACTCTAATATAAAATGAATAAACACACATAAGCTACACAACGAATTCAAGGTTTATTTATATCAGCTAATCTCATAGGTGTTAGGCATCATTCGCCAATAAAAAGTTACTAGAAATTGCGAAATCAACTCATCCTTCTTGGTCAACAATTTGAAGCACCTGAAAATATAGATATCACCTGACTTTTGAGTAATGAATGTGATGCCATCTCAAAGCTTGTCAGTGTTATTCATGTTGATCATTCAAGAAGCTTGACTGTATACACTTATCCACAAATCAGTGGGATCATCACTTCTTTCAAGAGCACTTGACGTTTTTTTCCTAATCAATATTGAATATTTTGTTTTCTTTACAAGATGGTGTTTATCTGCATTTTTATATCCGTAAATCATAATGTGCAATACTATTTCCAAACTCTCACCATTTGATGACTGAAATGAACTTCGATGGCACATAAAAATCAATTTGATGGCAAACGCTCAGTTTTATTTCAATTTTTGATCCACTGGATCACGAAACAATGACAAGATAACCGATGAAAGAAAATGGCACTTTCGATGGTTGAAATTACAGTGTTTCAAGAGTCGATCATACTGTTTTGTCAACTTTACAACGGACAATTCATCATAATACGGAAATAATAAGCCAAGGACAAACGACCATATCAACACCTGTATCATGAACAGACATGATAAGAGATTCCAAGTTCATTGTCTGAAGAACTTTATTTCGTATTAGTGTTCCAAATAACATGACACTGTTGATTAAATTCAGATGACCTACATTTTAAAGCACTTGAAACTGAACTGAAGGACAGAATAAAATTTATCACCAAAACTTATTGGAGTTTTCTAAGCCAGATGATTTTATTCAGTCTACTACATAACAGGTATATGAAGTTTATCTTCGGATGCTAATGTGTATATTTGTTAATAGCTCAAAATCCCTTCTACGTTCTGTGCATACTTATACGATGAGCATTAATAATCACATTGAAGTATGGAAACAATTTCAATCAACTGATAAAACGTGCTGTAAATATAGTTTAAAGAAATAGCAGACATTGAATATTAGTTGTCATTTCCTGTGTAGTTGAGTGGAGAGAACGTATGTAAGTCTTGTACTTCCTAATCAGCCTTCAAAATCTCTTTATCGGTTATCAATCATCACTAACTGTAACGTACACGTTTTGATCTCTTCACTTAAATCATTTTATCATCCACAGTTTGATCATACTTGTGGCATATTACAACAGTCAGTCAGTCAGTCAGAAACAACGTAGAACTTTGCACGTAAGTACATCAGTTCGAGTTGCCATACCACATTAGCACAGAGACGCAGTTGTCAATTTAAATCCCGTAGTGGTAGAGGTAGTAAGAGTATAAGCAGTGATCGGCAAGATTAGGGTTTCGATACGTTATTTAAAGAG